GTTCGTATGAACCCTTTGTACGAACAAAAGTAAGAGAAATTTAGGATAAGAATATGAACATGTTCTTGCATGAGGTCCATTGTTATCAAGGGCGCGCAGATTAAAAGGGAGTTCATTCCAGAGCCTGGGGGCCACAGAGGAGAAGACGGTCATCATGGGTCTTAAAGCGAGTATGAGGAATCATTAGGAGATTTTGATCCTGTGAGGGTAGGTAACATCAGGGTTTGTATGTGGAAATGAGACTTAATGTTTTCAGGTGCTTGGCCATGAAGAACTCTGAAAGTGAGGACCAGGATTTTGAACCGGATTCTGAATTTAACCGGAAGCCAGTGAAGTTCTGCTAGGATCAGGGAGATGTGGGTGAATTTGGAGGTTCGAGTTAAGAGTCTTGTTGCCGAGTTTTGGACAAGCTGAAGACGATTTAACTGTTTCTGGTTTAGGCAGGTGAACAAGCTATTATAATAGTCTAAGCGGGTAGAAATGAAGGCATGAATTACCATTTCCAAGTCTGAAGTGGACAGCAGGGGCCGGAGTTTTGTGATGTTCCGAAGCTGAAAGTAGCATGTGGAAACTAGATTCTTTATGTTTATCTAGAGACAGATCWKRRTCATGATCATGATATACTGGTCGATCATAAGCTGGTTTCCTTTACATCGTGAGATTTGTAGAACATAATTTATTTTTTAACCCTTGTTTAATGTTCAAGCCTTGAAAGCGCCCACCCTCTTTCTAATTCTCACCATACATGACCAGGGCCCTCATGTATACAGGCTGCACAGCTTTCACACTAAAAGCTGGCGTAGGGACAAATTTAGAAAAGTGCGCTGCACAAAAAAATCTGATATATAAAACTGTGCGCACGTATGTTTCTGCTCACCTTTCCTTTATAYATCCTAACGAACGTGGAACTGAGCGTACCTGAGACTCCTCCCGACACGCCTTTATTTAAATATGTAAAATACATGTAAACGTGTCCAGCGTGTGAGATTCTCCTCTGTTTATTTTGCAGTGAATCTTAACAAACCCATGTTTACATYAATGTGCAGAAGCTATACATATCAAAGATCTTGGCAAACTTACATAAACATGAGGGTGGATTATGTTGGTCTTGCTAATAGGGCTGCCAACCTGCGAGTAAAAAAAAMGTGTTTTCATCATTGACAAGATGACAATGTCCTGACATTAAACCGTTCAGTATGTTTTTAAACCTTACAGTATTAGAGGAGTTGTTTTTGTCTGGAGTCGCATAGCGAAAGAAAATGCCCACTTTGTCCACAGATACTGGCTTGACTTGCTCCCATCCACACACACGGACCAGCAGCTGGTGAAGTTTCAGCTCATGAGTGTGTCTGCACAAGAGAAAGCAGTTAGAAGACTGTTCATCACCTCAGCATTCATACTTCAGTGAATTTAACTGTCACTATGTCACCATTTCACAATGTCGCTTTCTGATTACTCCATACATTTTGAATTATCCATAGAAGATGACCCAGGGTGACCTTTCTATTGATAGAAAAACAAAAACAGCACACAGTGTTTAGAGCTGTGGCCTCAGATAGAAGGTCCTTGCTTTGTTCTGACTTGGGGACTGACTTTGTGGAGTCTGTATGCTTCTCCTTGTACATGACTTCCTCCCAAAGTCTAAAAACATGCATGTTAGGGGAATTGGAAATTCTAATTTGAATGTAGGTGTGTGTGTGTAGGCATGGTTGTGTGTCTTCACATCTCTGTGTTGGCCCTGTGATGGACTGGCAGTTTGTTGGTGTACCCCGCCTAATAGAATCAGAATCAGAAACACTTTACTGCCTTTGTCAGTAAGCGAGTTACAGACTAGGACTTTGCTCAGGTGTAGTGGTGTAAAGAGAAATAAATGAAACTAACTGGGTGAAGTGAGGAAGGAAAACAAGACAGAATTCAATAAGAATAATGAAGATAAAAACACAGTATGAATTCTACTCAATCYTTTATAAATGAGGCTCCAGGTCCTCATGACAAGCAGCCTGTGGTGCTTAAAGCTCTGAGTAAACTAATAATCACAGCCAGTGACTCCTGAACACCAAACTTGTYCCAACTGGGTTGGGAGCTTGTCTTGTCACATATATACATTATTTATTTTCCGCTGTGCTTCACCAAAGGAATGGTAGACCTGCAGTTTATTGGTTGACCTGCATCACTACATAGTTTAMTGTTTGATCTTCAGCAGAAGCCCAAAGTGAACCAAGTGAAAAACAGTAATAATGCCCAGGCGATGGAGCTCAAGCTGTACCGGTGGCGAAGTTTCTCACGGGYTTCAAACTCAAAAGGAATCTCTTCCCCGGGCAGCACTTCTCTCCAGTGACTGACATTGTGGGCATCATCATTTCCTGAGCTGTCGACGTCAGCGATGAAGCCTGCACTACTGCTGTGAGACAGTGCCACTCTGTTGGGATGGAAAAAAGATGCATTTAATGACCTGGGAATAACATCCACCCAGCTTCCTGTAAGATCTACCAGTGTTGTCCTTTGGCTGTAGGTACACTCTACTGTGAAAAAAGTATTCAGTCCTTAGAGAATTTTTCTGTTTTTGTTTTTTGGTCACTTTTTAGATCAAACAAGTTTTACTAAAGAAACTGCATTTCCTGTGAAAGCTTATTCCTGACTGATTTTGCTGAAAAAGTCTTAAGAAGCTGAAGACAAGCTGAAACCTTTTAAATGATAAACTGTTAATGCGAGCTGAGTTTAAAATGAACGTTTGCAAAAAGAAGGAAAATAAAAGTGAAAACATAACAATAGCAGAAATCTGTAGAAAAATGCTGAATGGAGAAGAAATGGAAAAAAATAGTAACACTTTATTTGAAGGGGCGTRCATAAGGCTGACATGACCCTGTCAAACATGAGGGAGTCTTCATGAATGTTTATAAACTCTCATTCCATAAATTATGACCCATTTAATTTAAAGCTGACATTGTTTAAAATGTCTCAGTTATGACAATTTGACAATAACCAAGACAAAAATATATTTTAGTTTGCCGATAAATTCTTAAAAAATCAGATAATGTGATTTTCTAGATCTGTTTTCTCATTTTGTCTCATAGTTGAGGTCTAACTCTGATGTCAGTTAAAAGCCTCTCATCTTTTTAAGTAGGAGAACTTGAACAAATGGTGTCTGATTGAATACTTTTTCTCCACTGTACGTTGTATGATGCAATAATTGCTCCACACTTCATTTATTGTATTGAAATCTGGGGAAAAGCATTTAAAACAATTACAAATTCTAATCTTGCTTTACAGAAAAGAGCTGTAAGAATTATCACTAGAAAACATTACAGTCACCCATCAAATATATTATTTTATCAACTGAAATTATTGAAATTCTACAATTTGGTTGATTATATTATTTTACAGGTTATGTATAAGACTCATAAAAACACGTTGGGCCTCATGCAAGAACATGTTCGTATTCTTCTCCTAAATTTCTCTTACTTTTGTTCGTACAAAGGG